AAAGAATTCCATTTATTTTTGAAAATCAGATTTATTTGCAACCATAATGGCTACGGTTTATTTATTTGGAGACTGCTCATTTTCACATAGACTAATCTTAGCAACATTAGGTTTACTCGACCGGATCATACAAATAAGCAAACTTTTCCCTCACCTGTGAATTGCTTATATTTTCAATCCGCCAATCTATTATTTGGTTGCGATTATCAATTGACATCATTTATAATTCGACAGATATAAGCAGAACTCGAGTTGTACTTTCGAACTTGTTTATCATGGTAATCTCTAATACTACAGTATCCGTAACACTTCCTACCAGCTCTGTTGAAGCTAACATATTGACTAATTTCATCTCGCTTTTACTAATCTTAGTTTTCTGATCAACAGGATACCTCATTGTTTCGTTTCTGGTTAATTGATTTTTTGATATTCCTTTCAACTAAGTTCCCATTTGGTACAACATTTTGTGATGACTTAATTTTTGGACCCTAAACTTTCCCTACAAAATTTACATCAATTTAATATATTTTAACCCTTTTACCAATGTACCTCAGATTTCCTATCCTTTAACCTTTCTAAATAGCCTGATTGCTCTCTGCCTAGTTTGGTTTTTGAATACGCCTTCAAGATGGCTATCTCAGTGCTGACTATCGCCTGCCCTTGCTCCCTCGGCTTGGCGACACCTACTGCTGTGATGGTTGGTACTGGCATCGGCGCACTCAATGGCATTCTCATCAAGGGCGGCCAGCCCCTCGAGAATATGAGGAAGGTATGATGCTGACTTGATAGACATATGTATAATTATCCGGTTTGCTTCATTACTATTTCGATTCCAATTATGTGTCTAAAAACTGCTTTCATCCCAACTTTGTCTATACCATTGCAATGACCATCACTCTCTTTCTTAACAGTACATCGCTCAATTTTACCTATGCTTCTGTTTATTCATTAATTCATTTTTACCTATGCTTTGCACATCCTGCATTTATCCATGCAATGCTAATGAAAGCTTCAATTTTTTCGATTGCAAAGCTGGAAATTTTTTCTTCATTACTTTTTTACTAGCCTAGTATTCTGACTTCTCAATATTTTAGAACTTGTTTGACATTGTTTTCGCAACATGGTCATATTGGTAGGAAGACTTAGAGGAATGCACCTATTCTGGAATCCATTGTCTGCATGAGCATTTCCAAAGTTGAACCGTGGACGTGGTACATTCCAAAACGTTTCTCCGGCATCGTAGTCGGCACACAATATCTAAACAAACACGGAAAAATTGTAATAGTGAAGGCATGATAGGATGCTACCGGAAACGCGAATAACCCAGGGCAGAAGTGGAGATACCACAATTGTTTACCACACATTTGGTCGAAGGTTCGGT